TTTTTTTTTTTTTATTGAACTCAATATTGAACTTGAACTCGTTTACTAAATGAGGCGAGTTCAAACCAAATTTAACTCAAATAACTCACTATTTACTCACAAACTACTCCACTCATTAAGAGTTCTAATTATGAGTTCTAATTATGCTGTCACATGACCATGAAAATTGAAAACATTTATAATTTTCTGGTTCTCTCGCCGTAATGAAAAAGAAAGCTAAAAATGCATGCTTAGTTTTGTTTACACTGGGCCGAACAATGAGGGCTTAAGGTCCTGGCCGCAAGCCCGGAAATAGTGCATGGTACTAGGTAGCCATGGTGCTATAGTAGCCGTCGAACTCATAGTGGCACTATGATGGGCCTATTATGAGATGGGCCCAGAAATAATGCTTTATCATATAGGGCACATGTTAATAAAGCCTTTAAAAATAAGATGGGTAATAATCTAAAAAGAGAGAGTGCACATGTTAAGGTAATTTTCTTAATTATAAATTTATAGAAAAAATTTAAAGCCTAAAATAAATTTTAATATCATTGTCAAGTAAATAAATTTAATTACAAGATTGATAAATGAAGAGTTAACTTTTTATTTTTTAATATAAATTTATAATAAAAAAATATTCATTACACTCTTAACTTATCTCTCACAAAAAACCCTACTTTTAATTGAAACACTTTTTAAAGTGCTATACTCCAATGGTTAAGAGGAGTGAGTACAGTTCAGTTTTGGTTATAAATAAATTTTTTATTATTAAATTTAAAAATCAATAACCAAATTAAAAAATATGAATTTTATTGGTTTGGGTTATCTTTTTAAGAATAACCATTTAGATTGGTTCTGTTTTAATTAAAAAATTATTTCTATATTTTTGAATATTTTTGAATTTATTAATTGTTATTTTATTGATTTTAAATATTAAAAAATAAAAAATTACTCAAGTAAATAAACTTAAAACAAATCTAAAAATCTTTAAAAAATTTATATAAAAAGATTTTAGACAAAATTTTTTCGTATACTCACCATAATCATCAGTTTTTTAATTTTTAACTGAACAACTAAAACTCAAATTATTTGAAATTGGTCCAGTTAAGTTTTTAATAAAAAAATTTTAAAACTCAGTCAAACTCAACCTGTTAATTATAATTTTTTGTTGGTTTCAAATTTCTTTCCAATTGCAAATTTCTCCTCACCCCTAATAGTTTAGTGCTTATTTAATAATGTTGTTGTCATTTATTTTTGTTTCCTTAATTTTTTGGAACTAATATTATCTAAAGTAATTTAGCAATTAAAAATAACTAAATTAATATTAGAGATAGTCGACTAGAAGCCCCTCTTTTTGTAGAATCTTTTCTTTAAAATCCCAAAAAAATAGGGGTACAGTGGACTATGGTTCCAGAAGAATTTGACATCGAGCAAAACTGTTTCCTTTATTATTCTTTTTTTTTTTCTTTTCCGACTTCCTAGTTCCTAAGATTCTTTTTTTAGAGAAGCCTAACCCAAATATGCCTTATTTAGGAATAGAATTGGGCAAAAAAGACCGATCTGATCGGGTTACAGATCACCGACCCAAACTTCGCTGTTTGGTTTGGATCAATCGGGTTTTAGGCCCAAGACTTCAGGTTCACCCTAACACCAAACTTATACGGTTCGGAGTTTGGTGGGCTCGGCCGAAATTGAAAAGCAGATAGTCCACCGAATAACCGAACTTTCTTAATTAATTTTGAACATTTTTAGTTTGTATTTTTTTCCCCTAAATTATATATAAAAAAATTATAGGTTTTAGTCGTTTTATTAGTTAATTTGTTTATATATGCATCAATACCAAAAGATTTATATTTTATTTAATAATTTATATTATATAATTTATTATAATTTAAATCGTATAATACTATTTTTACTATTTTTTTACTCTTCACCCTGGAGTAAATAAAAAAACATAAGTACAGCTATGAGAAAAAACTCCACAAGATTAGTTTGTGAAACCAACAAACCATCAGTGGTGCCGACGAAGTACCAACGAAAACAATGATTCCTAATTTCCTACTAATAAACATTAAATTTCCATTTAAGGTATCTCACTTTAGTTTCGACCTAGAGCAACAGAAATGTCATATCTAAATATCAAAAAGTAATATATATATATATATATTTATTGTTATATCATTACTTTTAATAATTAAGATTTATTCTATTTTTTAGATGAAAATGATAATTATTTTAATAAATATGATAAAAAATGAATAAATTTTAATTATTAAAAGTGAAGAGTTGAATTATTAAGATTTCGTTTAAATGTAGGACATAAGATTTATATATAAGATTTGTATGTAAGTAAATATGTACTCATATATATATATAAATAGTGGACATTAGTCTCAACTCTTTACATAACATTATTTCATTTAATTAAAATTTAATTTAAAATTTATAAATTTACCTTATTAAATGTGATATTTACATTTGAAAACTAAAAACTAAATTCAAAATTCAGAAATCTACACTATTATGTTGATACCTGGATTTAGAATATATAATCGATTTTTAAATTCAAGTATTAAGATTCAAAAAATAGATTTTTAAATTTAAATTAAATTTTAATTAAATGAAACTATATCGTTTAAAGTCTGTTGTACCTATGATTTTGATGATTACAAAACACATTTGAGTGACTAATTGGTTTACTTAAATGTGTAGTTAAGTTGCTAAAAGGTTGCAAGTAAACTTGGATTGCACTAAAAATAGACCAAAAAGATTCAAAATGTGCAGAGAGCCGGCTCTGGAAACTGCAGCCGGCTCTACGAGCAAAAATTTGAAGACCGTTGTTTGGTGTGCGCGGAGAAAAGACGCAAAGTCGACTCCAACTTTGCAGTCGGCTGTGAGGGTGCATTTAATGCACAACGGTCAAGTTATTTGAAGATTATTTAATGTGTTTAATGTTGGAATCTCAAAGCCGGCTCTAGGCTTTGCAGCCGGCTCTAGGCTTTTCAGCCGGCTGTGAAAGAAAACAGAATGTGCAGGAAACCCGCAGAGCCGGCTGCAGAAATGGTGAGCCTGCTGTGTAGAGCTGGCTCTAGGAAGTTAAGCCAGCTCTCCTGACAATCCTGCAACTCGAGCTTTGTGTCCTGTAGGGCATTTAATAACCCCCAACGGCTAAAAACGGCTATTTTCAAGCAAGGGGCTATAAATATGGTTGGTAACAGATCTAAAGAGGGTTAGAGAGTATTGTATTAAATATCTTTACCTACCTACATGAGCTTTAACTTAAGTTTTTGATCTTTGAGAGATCTTTGTTTGTAATCCTCTTCTTGTGCTATTAGTGAGTGATCTTGGATATGTGATTATTCCTTCAAGAGTGATCTATTGAGAGGATTTGTGGGGTTCACATTGTAAAGGGGTGATGTTTGAGAGAAATACTCATCTTCTTGTAAAAGAATTGAGTGGCTCCTTTAAGTCACTCTTGTTGTTGTTAATGGAGAGTGTGGAGGAAATTATCAGTGAGTGAAGCCAAGGTAGAAGACTAGGCTCCAAGTGGTTGGACTGAACCTCTATAAATCATTGAGTAAGCTCTTCTTTTCTACTCTCTTTAATTTAGGTGTTATGGTTGCAAAAAGGGGAGAATTTTTAGAACTCCAATTCACCCTCCCTCTTGGAATACATTGAGTCAACAAAGTCAGGTCTCTAATTTTTTTTAAATCAAAACTAATATGTACTATTTATTATATATATATAAAGAGAGAGAAATGATCCATTTATACAAAATTCTTACACATTACAATTATATAATATTTTTACTATTTATCTTTTCACTTTTAATATTTGATATTTATTACTTTTTAAATAAAAAAATAATTATCTTTAATAAATGTAAATAAATCTCAACTATTGAAATTAAAAGATGAATAGTTGAGATTTTATGTAAGTATAATGTATAAGATTTGTATAAAGATAGATCTTCATATATATATATATATATATATAAAAGAAAATATACAAGGGTTAAAAAAAATTATACCTTCTGGCATGGAACTATTGATTCTGGACCAATTTGAGAGTTTTTGAAGGAGGTTGAAAATGTAAGTTGCAGAATGTGGAATAGAAAAACCAAAAATGATACAATCTGCAGAAGAGAAATGAAATTAATTGTGCTTTAATTTATACTTTATAGCAAAGAGACTAAAAATTTGTTAAATATGAGAATTCAATTTAATTAAATTCATATGCAAATTTAATTAAATTCATATGCGAATTTATTTATATGAATTCCATTTCATTTTCAAACAAAAAGATAAGAAATAAAGGAAATAAGGGTTGACTTAAGGAATGACTTGCATATTTAGAGAAAATTTAGAATAAAAATACCTAAAAACCCTTTGCCCTGCAAAGAATAATAAGAAAAAATTTGGAGAATCTGATTATCAAATCAAATATAAGGAGACACTACTAACCAAAATAATGCATCAAAAATATAATATATAGATTTATTTATATAATGAAATACATCAAAGAACTTCATAAAATCAAACATAATCCATTTATGTGGTACATTAAGAAGTAAATATGCTTGTTATTACTGATCTGACCTTGAAATAATAAGTAGATACTACCAACTGAAAAATAAGGATATATTGTCATATGTAAATACAAAAAATGAGATAAAAATCAATGGTAAAATAATTAATTTAAAGAAGACAAAAATTATAGTTTTCTACAAACGATTAGAAATGACTTTAATAAGGATATATCTAGCAAATGGTTTCTTTACAAATTGCTCAAATATGTACTTTTTAGTTACCTTAAAGATTTTTAAAGAAGATACAACAAAATTAAAAACCAGAAAAGAAAAGCACTATAAAACCAAATACTTTGGGGGAGATTAAGGAGAAAGAGTATAATTAAAAGAAAAGAATATACTTTATACTAAGCTTTAATAATTTAGTGATGAAGTTAGCAAAGCATATATTAAAATCCAGCTTTTGAGAGAAGAAAAAAATCAAGGTGATTAAAAGAGGAAAAAAAAAACACACACACACAGTGATCGAAAAATATATACCAGCAGGTTTAGAACTTACGCTTCCTCAATTACAAGGTTTGAGAGACAAAATGCAGATACCAAAATATGTAGCGGATTTTACCAACATGATGCAATCTGCAGAAAATAATTCAAATTTAGATGATAAATGGTACTAAATTGTAGTAGTACATAAAATCAAAGGCTGAAAAGTAAGTTGGGAAACGGAAAAAGGGGCCGAACCACTGGTGAAACCATTAGAAGGTGAATCTCATCAGTTGCGTGAGAAAATATGTGAGGCGGCAATGAAGATCAGGAAAGCAGTGAGAGAAAACGAATGGAGATATATAGGTTTTTAGATTTGAATCTTCTAAGCGGAAAGGAAAGCAGCGAAATTAAGAAACGGGTTTTCTAAGGTTTTGTTTGAATAAAAATTAGTAAAGCGATGGAAAGGGTGAAGAAGGGACGGAAAGGAAGGAGAAGTAAAGGGAAGGAAGGTGAAGTAAAGGGAAGGAAATGATTGATGTTAATTTTGTTTGGATAAATAAAAGTAAAAGAGAATGAAAGATAATATTTTTGTTTAATTAAATAATTTTTTTAAAAATAAAATAAAATAAAATATTTAAAATTTATTAATTAAAAAAATAATTGATATAAAATATATTTATATGTTTATTTTTTTAAAAAAATTACATAAAATAAATAAATAAAACTAATCTTTTTTAATCCATCTAATTTAGAGGGATTGAAAACAAAAGAATGGAGGGGGATACATAATCTCCCTCCATCTCCCTCCCCCTCTATTAAAATCAATAATCTAAA